TATATATACACAAAAATATATATATATATATATATATATATATATATATATATATATATATATATATATATATATATATATATACACATACACACTCACACGTACGCGCGTGCATACATATGTACAATAATTAACATACACAAACATATGTCATACAAAAATCCAGAATAACTTGTTCTTCCGGCAGTTCGGCCGAATTGAGCACACAAAAACAGTGTACGAAGAAAAAGATGCATTGTGAAATAACACATACTACAGACTGTTACATCACATTACATATAATTAACGTGTATGTTTTTACCATGTATTAGCATGTATATTTTTTTCTAGGAACGAAAATGATTATACAAAAAAACAATATTTTATTTAATGTAATTTCATTTCCCCTATATCTTTTTACAATCTTATGATATGTGTAAACTGATAATAAAGAAACTTAAACATTATAGATGTATTTCTTTAGGTATTATTAATTTGCTATACAACATACAAAGCTATTACATTCAAATAAAACAGTTCGTCCAGCATTGCTGAAGACAATATTTAATATTTTAATATTTTACTTTTTTATCAGCATATATATATATATATATATATATATATATATATATGTACATTTAAAAAAGGTATGCAATACATACTTTTTCTTGGTCAGAAATTTGTATTAAATTAAAGAAACTCGAAAGAAAGATAAAATCTAAATTTAAGCAATTGTTCATTATCTTTTGGTAAAAACATTACGCATATAATAGTTATTATTAGTTGTGCTTATTCAAGCTCTATTCGATACCGAGCAGTCGGAGGCTGGATTCAGGCGAAATTTCTTCATACCTATGTATATATTTATAGTTAAATACATAGAAGGCGGCAAAGCTGCTACATATCGAGTCATGATTTACACATGTATGCAATTATGAATGTGACTGCTTTTGGAAGGTTTGCTTTTATTTCTTTCTCTTGGAATGTCCATAAACACTATTATCTAGCATACATTAAAAATAAGTTCAGTCATTTACACATACTGCAGACACTTCCGAAAGGGAGAGACGGCCATTCTGTTTCACAAAGTGACTCAGCTTTGTATACCTATTTGTTACTTATACAAATTAGTTTTCTACAATCGTGTAGTATTACATTAGGATTTTAAAAAAGTTAAGTTTATACGTTGTAATACAGTATGTACTTGGGAAAATTGTTCAGTATCAATAAAATAACTAAATGCGCGTATAGTTCTCATTTATTAATCGTTGTTTTCCAATAATTGGTTTCTTCTAATAGCTTAATAATATAATTTGTATGTGAAAACGTTTTCACTACGACGACTTATCCTCCAACGCGACGTTAACTAAAAATTCTTTATATTCTCATAAGAATTAACCGATGATTAAAAATCATGGGACGATATTTATTAAAATATTTATAGAAAGAAATAAAAGTGTACCACCTTATCTCAGTATTGAGGTAGCGTAACGTTGCTTTGGCTTAGCGAGTTTCTCTGATTATCTAGAAATATTTCAACTGATCGGTGGTACTTCGAGAAGAGAAAGATTACTACATACCGAAGAATAAGACTATACACATTATGGTGTTTATACGTAAGACATATTTTGATCTTTCTATTGCGTACATATATGTCGACTGTCAACGTTACATTCTTGTATACACGTGTACGATTGTACAATTATACATTGTAATACATTGTAATTTCTTTGGTAGAAACTATTTGGTACGTTTGCGCCCATTCGGAAGGTCGTGCAGAGTAATGGAGTTACAACGAACAGCTTGCAAAGGGTACTTCACAGGGAAACAAACATCAACAACAATGATTCCTCAAGTATCAACAACATTAACAACATTCCATTATAACTTATCATCATTATTGTGATCGTCTCTATCATGACCAGTTTTATCATTACAGTCACTGTTGTAATCTCAGTCTTTCGCCACATCGTCAGCTTGATAACATTTTGTAATGATATATTGTAATTATAATTATCATCGCAATCATTGTCTTCAGCAACATCGTCATTATTGTTAAGTAATATTTATGGCCATTATTAGTATATTTTCTTACTGTTCTTGCTATGACCATTTCTATTATATTCCTTTTTTTTTTCTTTTTTTTACTATTTGTGACTTTTCATTATATTTATATTCATCTTCATAAATTTTTTATCACTACTAATCAAATTTACTAATAACTATTTCTGGAACTTTGAAACAAAACACTAACAATAAAAAATACTTATAAATGAATTATCGATATCAAATTTTTCCTTTGAATGAATTAAAAATGCCAGAGAACCAAATAAGACATAATTTCTTAACGATTAAACAAATCAACGACTGCAAAATAAAGATATAACGATGTATATGACTGATTAACGGAGACCAATTATCAATTAAAATTACAAAATTCCTTAATTTTATAACATCTACTGTCGCTTCGTACACGTACATACATTGCGCGATTATTTTGGTATAAAACGTCCGTTTCTTAATTCACGATAAATAAAAAGCGAGCTCTTTTAAACACGTCCATGCAACTGGTTGTCTTGATAATTTTCTAATTACGATAGTTGCTTGGTGTAATTCTTTAATATATTACGTGTTATATGTGATCTAAACATTTAAAATTCATCGAAATAACAGAGGAGAACAAATATTTCAGCGCTCCTTCTGTATGAAATAATATGTATATTATGTATATATATATATAATATGTATATTATGTATATATATATATATATATATATATTCTTTTATATATATATGGCTTATTAGGTCACCGTCTTATAGATGCAGAAATATAGAATGCAGTCTTTTCCTTGTACATAAATAATTTCCTCGAGAGCAATGGCACTAATATAATTTTGGGAATTTTTGTTTTGTGCGGTAAGTAGTATTATCAAAATAGATAGTTGTTTTAACTATTATACAATATAAGTACATAGTATAAGAAATATGCGATTATATCCTGAAAATTTACAACCTACCATGATATTTATTAAAATAGGACCTCAATCGGATTATGATTATCCGAAGTCTTGATCAACCGAGATTTCGATTGTTTTCTAACAAACGCTTTCTTCCATTTTTACAAACTCTTTCCTTCAATAGTTTATTGCTTTCTACGAATGCTAGTCATTATCATTATTACTAACAATAAGTGAATGTTTAAGCCGTAAAAATGAGTTGTAAAAGAAAAATACTTGTTTTAATGAAAAAAGAAATTGAGCAAATGATCAATTGAGACGAATCAATAAAATCAATTACTCTTGATATCAATCTAAAAGAATCTATTTGTAAGGAAGTAGAAAAAGGCGAATAGAATCTGAATAAAATAACTACTGGTGACGAAAATGTTGAAAAAATACTATTAATATAGTTTTCATACCGAAAAAAAAATTTTACGTATCAATAGTTACATTTTTATATCGTAAAATATACACGTTTATGATTATATGAAAAAAATATACATATTTATGATTATAAAAAAATCTTATTTTGTACACAGAAAGTATTTCTAGCTATTTCTCCTCAGACTTAAATTATTCGCTCAATTTATCTAAGTATCCGATTAGTTAGTTAGTTTATCGAGGTCCTACTGCATTTTGAAAACTACAAGTCTTGCTACCCTTAAGAAATCAAGGTAAAATTAGACAGAATTATTGTCATATAATTACCTACAATTGATGTTTTGGCTTTCGAGGAAATACATGTTTCATGATTTCCTGACCGCTCACTACATTTCAGTATCTATATGAGAGTAATTAATTCAGAATTATCATTTTTTATCCGACGTATGTAACAAGCGGTTTATGAAATATGACATAAAAATTGATAGAACATTTTAAATTTTCTTCTTGAACATACGATAAATCACCCTTTTCTTTTTACAATTTATGCCTGATCGTGTTTTCATACTACCGCATATTACAACTCTTAACAGTATGAAGATACCCTTAGAGTGATATTTAAAGCTCTTACAACTTTTACAATACACTTGCATACAGAAAGTAGTAATAGCTGGGGTTTTGGACTAGACGTGATGTGGTTGAATATGAGGCAGCCTGCTAGACAAGTTGGATCAGGATTTTATACTATTCGATTCGTCGAGTCGCCTTTCTGTTCCCACAGTTAATAAATTTGTAAACTCCATTTCTAACAATTGTCGAGCCTATTCAAGTACAAAAAATAGTAAAAATTATTACATATAATTTAAACTAATTTATTATTAATTAATTAATATTAATTATAAAGTCAAAATGTACCTGTGTGTTTTGGGTTGGAATTTGCAACGCTAAAGCAAAACTATTGGCGTCAAAACTTTCATCAAGGGCTATAAGAGCACCATGTACCCCAGATTCTAAGAGGTTGTTCCCGTATTCCTGGATATATATGAAAATTATGCTTTACAGAACGAATAAATTATAAAATATAAAATAATAAAATGGAATTACTTTCAGGCCGATAGATTGCACCCATCTTATAACGCGATCATTACTCCATACAAGAACATCGACGTTGGCACCTTCCGCCATTCGTCTCCTTTCTTCTAATTGTTGCCTATCATAATTTAATCGCTTTAAACATGAAATGCCATATTGTAAGCTTGTTCTGTAAAAATAAATAAAATTCGGATTAAATCAAAGAAACTAAAACACCAGTAAATATGATTTTCATTTTTAATGATTTATTACCTATGAAAGCTATCAACCATTCTAAGTTGACCACGAAGGTCTTTTTTGGTAAGATGATCCAACATTCTAGCATCAACAAGGCACTCCATGAAAGTGGATCGATATTGTGGTAAACCAAGACTTGGTAGCCAAACATTACCAATCCATTCGTGGTTCATATCTCCAAATGCTAAGGTTGTGCGAGAGGTTTTTGGTGCTGATGGACTTGTGAGTGATACCATTTCTTGTATAGCTAATCGCAATTTCAATCGATGTAGAGGATTACTGAGAATAAAAATTATATTAATAGCTTTATACTTATAGTCTTATCCTATAAATATTTGTTATCCAAAATACAGAATATACTAAATAATTTAATTTTGTACCTTATACCAATTTCACGTTGAATTTCGGTATCACTAAGAGCACTCATTATAGCACCACTTTTGACATTTGCCCGGCAAGCTGCAACATACCAAGTTGGCATGCCCACCCAAAGCTCAAGCCAAGCCACTACAGTTGGCCCATTCCACAGAGCAAATGGTGTTCCAGCTTTCATTGCCTCCGCCAAAAGTTCGTGCCGTGAGGAATCTAACATACTTCCAAACATACTTGGACTAAAAGAAAATTAGTACTATAACGTATACAATTATATTCGTTAACTACTTAAAATATAAATATATTATTAGCAATTACATATATATACCTTTTCTTTTTTCTACGGTCAAAATCGCTTTTACTGCCCATAGTTCCAGCTACAGAGACACTATCTCCATAATCAGGATCAGCAGGTGTGCTTGCTCCTCCCATACCTGACATATCTCCAGGCATTGGTGTGTCTTTTCCTTTGATCTGTAACCAAAACTTATTTTTTTATTCACTTACTTTTTATTTATTATCTTATGTAACTAAAATCTGCATTACCTTTTCTTTCTTGCTGAAAAATCTACCAAGACTGCTCTTAATGCCTTTCTTCTTTTGAGCTGCAGCCACCGCTGCCGCTGTTGCTGGACTCATGGTAGATTGCATGTGCAAATGCGAGCTAGACAGTTGTCCAATTGGCAATCCAACACCAGATAAGTTGTTCTTATGCAAACTGTCCTGGCTGCTATGACGTGAGGACAATGGGGAAGGGGGAGTCCCAGAATTGAGTGCGCCGTTGTTATGTTGCCCATGCCTGCTGCATGGAGCGCTAATCTAGTTTCTATTTCTACTCTAAATAATGCATTCTAGCCCACACACTATCCGACTACATTTTTCTATAACTATGTACTTCTTACATCACTTTTGTGATCTGAATTTATTCAAATTATTTTCAAATCTTTTTAAATATACATCATCATATCAAATAACCCAAAGTGACAGTAGGATTTGTTAAATTATCTAATGTTTTGTACTTTTTAATATTTAAAGCATATAGATTAATGTTTAATATGTTTTAAATTACATGAAATAACATATAAACAGGGAACTTAATGAGCCAAGTGAATTGCATTACTTAGATTTTTTTAGCAATGATATATGATTATTTATACATTATTATACATGGGCATAAGCACAAATACTATTTAGCTTTGAGTAATATATGCGGTATGATCTTTTACCCAGAAATACCTATTTCCAATGAAGATAATATTCCTAGTTGAGTTAACTTGAAGCATTTAAGTTTTGATTTTTTGCTATTCAAAACATCTACAACTGACAATTACTACAAGTAATTAACTAATAGACTAAAGAAAAAATGAAGCAGTATCAATGATTTTAGAAATTCATGGAAAAATATTAAATTATAATTCAATTTCTTATACGTATAAAAGTGATATATGATATGAAAAAATAAAAAATATTTTTTTCCAGGAACGTCCAAAATGATAAACTATGTTCGATAAAATATTGAAAAAATTGTAATACCTACTCAGTATTACAGGCAAGGCATAAAAACCTGGAAATATAGCTGATCACTGCTTATGAGATGGGATTGCCATAACAAGTACTATTTAAACGCAAAGATATAGAAAGACCACGTTATTTATGAATTCTATTAAAACAATTGTAATCTCTGATAAAACTGTTATGCGTATATTGCATCTGTGCAATAATGGATCCATCTATATCTTTGTATCTATTCCTTAAAAAAACAACCTTATTCGCGTAGGAGTTTCGGACGCGACGTTAACTCGATGCAATTCTCTTGGCTGTCTAAATTCCCTCGTTTGTTTAAGACAGCGATGTTTGTCGTGAACTGGGCAGGCTTGAATGTACGATGGACGGAAGAAGCTAATATCAGTTTCTTCCAGAAACTCATTTCTATCAGATTTATCAGTCGGTTCGTCCATACCACTGTGTTCGAAAATTGGGGCTGTAGGCATGGATATGTGACATCTTGCATACTATTCATTGATTATATGTTTCTTGTGATAAAAGATTAGTTATAATTAAAAAATGGAAATATCCATAATAAATTGTACGATACAAAAATATCTATAATTATCAATCCCTATAGTAATTTTTTGTGAAAACCTAAGATCATCTTAGTAAATTCCTTTTTCCAAAAACAGATATAAAAAGGATCTGTTACCATCGATGTCACTTAAGTCGACTTCAAAGTTGTTCATTTCATGCCCACATAGGCCACTCAAATATGTCGTGCACAGCGGCATATGTTGCGGATTACATGCAGTACTACAATCTTTAATTAACCTGTGAGCAGGAAAACCACTGGTAGGAAATCCGGCTTGTCCAGTACGTCTGGCAGCATAAACAACGCACAATACCAACTACTTACAATGTAATTACTGGATCTTTGACAATCCTATCTCTATATATGCAATAATTTGGCCACTTTGATAATATCGTGTGCCATTATTTAAGCATCAATTAATTGAATAAAATAGCATATTTATGATATCTAATATATATTAGAAAAATTTATTGTTTCCCAATAAAAGAAAACGAAAAGACAAAATCTTTAGAATCTTTATTGTCAGAGATGTGGTTGCTAAAGTGTTGTTGATAATAAACTATCGTCAGTTTTCTGATAATGTTTATATTCAAGAATAGGATCCACAAAGAAATTCGATATTCGTTAATATCATTAAAATTTATATACCGTTAATAAGAAAATTAAACACATACCTTCTGAGCTCCTCTTGACTGTGAGCAAGTGCCTGTGCTACTCGTTCTAGCCTGATCGATCGAGCAGTTAATGGTGAAGCTGCATCGCTACCACTTCCTGCACCACCAGTACTGTCTCTTTCACTTACTGAATGCAATTCCTCACCTGATAATTGCAACTACAAAGAAACGTTTATATTACATAACTGTATCAAACAGAAGAATAACAAAAATAATTATAGTTATTGTTATTTACCTGACTTGCAGGAAGGGATTCTGAAAGTTGACCTGGACTAGCTAAAGAAGCAGCATATTGATGGAGATGTGCTGGAGACATTGATGCTGGTGCCTTCAAGATGATAAAAATATTGAAAATATATTTTTAAATGATTAAAAATTATAAAATAAACGATGCTTACAGTATGATATTTATGTAAATAATCTCTATTTGGACTATGATGAGATTTTGGAGTAGATCGACCACTTAATGGTGGAGATGCTCGTTCGAGACTTCGTCCTCTTGCTAATAAATTCATGTGTTCTAGACTACCAACCCGGGATTCCAACTCTTCAGCACGCGCTTCAGTACTTTGTTTTTCTTCCTTCATCAAAAGTGCACTTTGACATATTGATATATAAAATATGATACAATAAATAACTTTTAATTACCTGAATTAATCTAATTTCATTATTAATTGCATCTAATTGTTCTTGTAACATTAATGCTAGTGTTTGAGCATCTGTATGTCCTGTAGGACTAATTACATCAGCTGCACAGCTGAATAGACTTTCATTATCGCCATCGCCTTCTGCATCACTGGAAACATCAAATGCTTGTTGCACATTTGCGAGAACATGAGCCTGCTGTAATTTTTCCCATTCCTGTTCTGCTAAAGTGCGTGCTACATAATTCTGAGAAGAACATGTTATTTGTAGTTTTCTATTGTACATTTAAGTTTCTATATACTAAAATCTAATCTTTCATACTCTACCTTTGACGGATCTTCTTCAATTGCAGGTCGTTTACCCGTTCTTCTTGGCAAAGAATGAGTATCAAAACTACTATGACTTGCACTCCTAGAAAAAGAACCTGGATCCACTGCATTTGGAGATAAACTTCTAGTTAGAGCATCTGTTTGTTGAATATTGAATGCAATTTCCTGTTGGAGCATTTGTCTTTTCACATTGTCGATCTCTAAACGAGCTTTTCCTAATTCTTTAACTATATCAGCCTTTTCGTTTTGAAGATCTTCCGCTATTTTCCTAGTCTTCTCTAGTTCTTGCGTGAGTGCGTTTTTCTCTTCTAATGCATGCATTCTTTCTTTCAAATGCACTTGCAATCTTTCGTTAGATTCTAAAAAGATGAATCAGAACTGATAAATAAATGAAACATAAAATAAACATAAGATAAATATAAGAATATATTTGTTATTATATATACATATACATATAAATTACCAGACAAAAGTTTATCAACAGTTGTACTAAGTCGCGTATTATGTTCCTCATTCATCTTAAGTCGTTGATTGACACGCATCACTTCTGCATTCTTTTCTTCAAGTTGTGTTTCCAACCTTTGTATTCTATCTTCTGCGCTGCCATGTCTTTCTTGAGCCTGCTTATTAAATATTTCATACAATTAAAATCAATGCCTGCAGAGATTAAATTTAATCAGAGATGAATTCATAAAATAATATCTATTTAATTGTTTTTTATTTTAAATATAATTTTTTAGAATTAACATGAAAAGCTAATGAATTAAATTGAAGAATAAATAGATGTCTACGAAATGTGTCTACAGAAATGTAACACTAAACTACTAAGTTAATAATAAGCTCTGAAAAGAATCACATTAATTGCTACATGTTTGGTACAGTAGTGTTAAGTTGAAAGTAAGTAAATTATTTTTTATGTTAATTTTTACCCTTATAATTAACGTGATTATTAACATGATGATCATGGTAACTTCATAATCTTAGATGAAAATAAAAAAAATCCGAAGTATGTTTATTGTATGTGTAGTATATCAGTAGCAACGCAGCCAATGATGAAGAATATAGCAGAGAAACATTGGGAGATGTTTAATATGAAACTGAAGGGGACTAATTAGGGATAAGCATTCTAGACATAGGTATATTTGGAGGCGAGGAGTTTCGATAGAAGTGCAGAGGAATAAGAAAAGAATAAATTGATGATACGACGACTTAATTCCTCTGCGTACCTGGTTGGGCCTCCTCACCTGCGTCAGAGCCTCCATCCTCTGTTTTAATTGCTCTTCCATTTCTGGTAATTTAGCATATTGGGCTAATTTTTGTTCTGCAAGTTCTAATTTCTCTTGTATTGCCGCTATTTTTTCTTCTTGGAGCTAAAAGATATTAAAAATATAAAATACATTAAACTGACATAAACTGTGAATTTCATATAGAAGGACAGTTACCTTTAATTGAGCTTTTTTATGTTGCAGCTCTTGCTCCAGCTTTTCATTGAGATCATGCAAACTAGTAGACTCTCGTTGAGCATTAAGATATCGTTTTTCAAGAGTCGCTATTCTCTCTTCTTGGTCCTCTTTTTGGGCAACATTTTCGCGTAAATCTCTCTGCAGCTTAACGTTTGTTTCTTGCGTTTTCAGAAGATCTTTTTGAGTTTTGGACAATGTTTCTTCTAATTCTGTCACTCGACCACTTAATTCGGCTACTCGCCGTTGCCATGTGCTCAATTCTGAGCTCTAGAATTGTTACAATATATTATCAATAAAAGTTAATGCATGTCTAATATATCACTTGTGTGTGTGTAGAAGGAGTATAAAAATTGTGTTTCTCATATTCTCTATGTAAGTATACACTAATGTATTCTAACAACATTACCTCTTGTTCTAATCTTAATTTTAAGATATTACACTAGATCTAATTGAAATATATACTATAATTTAAATTGTAAATGTGTTTTTATATTGCACATGGGATGTACATGTCAGTATATATATAGACACATATGTATTAATAATTATTATGTTGCTTATAAAGTTTGTTTGAGAAAAACTCATTCTTACTCACTAAATCATGCGAATATGGAACACACATTATTGATATATTCATTCTACAACATGCCATAGGCGGCAATAATATGGCACACTTAACGAGAGAGAAATTTAAATTGTGCAACAATCTGTTAATATCTTTTAAAAAAATCTGTTAATATACGTTAAAAAATCTCGTTACAATATAAAAACGATAAAAAATTTCAATAATCGCTTCATGATTATCATATTCTATAACATTTAATGAGCAGAATCTGTATCTAGAAAATTTCTTAAGCACTTGATAATAAGCACTTAATAATATTATCAAAAATAACAATCTATCATTGTGTTTCAGCATCATGCAATATAACAGAAACATTCTAAGGTTTGAAAGTTTGCTAAACCAAGAATGACAAATAAAAAATGTTTCTCTGGACTCGTGTAAGTCTGCAAATCGTTTGAAATACATGCAGAGAAAAAAGGGGAGACCGAAGAAGAGTATATTCGTTCTGCATCTCAAAAAAATTAGCAGTCAGGGATACAGTTTTATCGCATGAAACGTTCCACGAATTCATCTACCTGACTGTTCCTCAGTAAAAGAATCATACGTACTCTAAGTAGCTCGTTGAGATACTTTTTCATACCTGCTTGTCGAGAGTGGCTTGCAAATCTATTACGCGTGCCGCAGAATCCTGGTCCACAGGATCGAGACTTCCATTGCTCAATCTACTTTCGATCTCTGTTGACTTCTCCGTACCTAGCTTTTGTATCGACTGCTGTTGTTGCTGTTGTTGCTGCGGTTGTTGCTGCTGTTCCTGCTGGCCTGCTGCCTGCTCAGTCTCATTCTGCCCGATCATAACACTACATTCAGAATGCCTCGCTCGCATTGCTTGTCCTGCATCGCCGCGCAATTCCCAACAACTATATATTTATACAGCTACGCGATTAAACCACTACCGTGCACGCTATTGCGAATACATTCTTAATATGGATGCAACGATTGAGATGAATAGCAAACAGATGGGCAGTTTATCGGTACAGATTTGAACACTGTTCAAGGATGACGTTGCATGATTTCCTCTGGCTAACACGTAACGTGCCATGATTTGAAACGAATTGGAAATTCTTATAGAAAAAAGAAGTTGAATGAACCGTGGAATAAAATGACTGGCAGTCAATTATTATAATTCAAATTATGACGTGTGAGAATCATTTGTGATTAAATGTTTCTAAGATGACACAGAATATACTCTTTAATCGTTAAACATGAGCCAAGGGCTGAAATCTGTGACCAATAACTTCGAAATCGATCAATATCTAACGTCAAGATTAGAAGCGTATCACAGATAGAGAAAAAGAGAACAAGAGGACCCGATGACGCAGAAAACGAACTCTATCGCTCTATGTAAAACGGTGTGACTAAGTGAGATACTGAAGTATATCAAAACCATGGACATGCAAAGTGAAAAGATCGTATAAATGCAATTCACGACGCTTAAACATGTTGAACACCTTTTTTCATGTATGCATGATGAATGTGATTGTGAAGTATGAAGGAGCAGTGTATGTGAAATATTTGTGGAATACATTATGTATAGATGTGCAACAACTTGAAGGAATTTCTCAGCTACCTTGTTCTGTTGCTGACCATCCTCTGTCTGCCCATTCTCCTTAGGCCTATCTTCTATATTTTTAGGTGCATGCCCACTTAATTTATATTGCTGGAGCTGCAAATTTTTATCGAAATTATTAACATTATCATTTAACATTACATGATTGTCAAACAATTTAATAATTATTATTAAAGGTTATATAAAATTAATTGAAACGGTACCTCTTCTTTGGTAATAACTAACTCTTCTTCCAAACTGGTGTTTCTTTCAAGTGCAACTCGCAATCGTTCACGCACCTGAAAATTAGATTTATCATTAAGAAACCTATTCTTTATTATTTTATTTTCAATTGTTATATTTTTCGTTATTATATTTTTGATTGTATTGAAACTTTATCCCTATATCGTACTGTGATCAATTGTGATCTGATCATTTAACAGAAATTTACAATTCATCATTTTTCTATCTGGTTTTGAAAAAGATGCAATTTCGTGGCGACGGAAATCATAATTTTCCGTACACTCCCTCAAGGTCGCCAACGTGTCAATGTCGTCAAACAATGGATCAGAAAGTTCTTACTTTCTCGTCCAAAGCCTTGTGATGCTCGAACAGACTTTTTAGAGCTTTGAGCACTTCAACTTCGGACGATACTCCAGATTGTGCAGCCGCTTGCCTCTTCACTACAGTCATCCTAAGCGATCGTTCATGTCGGGAAACCAGACATTCCAGATGCTCGAGCAGAAGCTGTGGAAAGCAATAGAATCGTGAGCAATGTCGTAGGATACAAGTACCGGCTTCAATCTATAAGATGCATTAGTGGTCTGTTCTACGTACACGAGTATTATTCCTCTCTGCTTTTAACTCCGATATTTCTTCTTCCCTCTCTAGGATACTTTCGCGGGCTGCTGCAAGCTCCTTCGTTAACTGAGAGAAATCCTACAATTAAAAAATACATTTCATTCATATCACAAGTCACAGATACCAGTAGGATGATATTAAATAATAAAATATACAAATACTTTAAGGGATGATATTAAATAATAAAATATACAAATACTTTAAGGGATTAACAAGATTAAAAGATCGGAAAATAAATGTACTTGATTTTCTCGAAGACGAAACCTCAAATTAATTTATTTTATATTCTTTTCTTTTTTTTTTTTTATTAGGCATCACATTATGCCCGCTTTTGTATATTATTCGCCCAAACCTTGCACATATATATAAGTAAATTAATCAGTATTGAATTTCATTTTGAATAATACAATTTGAAAGAAGAAAATTGCAATTTCTAATATTTTTTTACCACTTTATACTATTATAAAATTAAAAAAAGAATAACTTGCAATTTTTGAACTATAATCCACAGTTGTTTTATCATTTTTGTACGATATTGAATTATAGATACATCTATATATATACATATAATAATAGATTAAACAGCCTTTAGCGATCAAAATCGGTTTGATCATAACATTATGTAATGTGATATCAAAAGAAATTTTTAAGTTCATTACTTCTAAGTAATTCAACAAGACGAAAAATAAAGAAAGATAAATATTTGATTATTTGTAGCATGAATGGAAGAAAAGTGTTTCAAGTGAAGATTTATGTGAAAAAAATCTTGCGTCGTTTCAAGTTTTGGTGAAGTAACGATCAAAATGAAGAGAGAAACTGCACTTTCGCCTTTTTCATTCAAACGCGTTTTATTCACACCTTCAAACGTGTCACTTCCGCTCCACAGTATAATGTTAAATCTTTATTTATAAATGCTACCAAGATCGATATGGCCTTCCCTGTTGAAACAACATCGACACTCGCTTTACACTTTAAAGGAGCAAGCAGTCTCATGGAGCAAAGTCGCTCCTGCTTGTTATTTAATATTTTCAACAATTATTTTTGATGCGAAAAGGGAATTAAAACTTAAATGTATATTGGACTTCTGTATCACATTTAATACAACTTAACCTATTGCGCTGGAATGACGTGTATTTGGCCCAAAATTGCAATATTTTCTAAATATAACCCGAGCAAAACAAATAATAAATTTCTTAGTAATAAACTTCTTAGTAATTTCTATCTAGTGATATACCGATGAATAATAATAAAATAATATATTTTTCAAATATATTATTTAAATGGTGATAAAATAATAGATTTTTCAAATATAACCCAGGCAAAACAAATAATAAACTTCTTAGTAATTTCTATCTAGTGATATACCGATGAATTCAAAAAGAAGACGAATTATTGTATACGGTTTGGTCACTCGTTATGGTCCGTGAACCAGTTACTAGCGCAAGAGGTTAAATATTTATAATATACGCATCCTATGACAAGAGTATATTAACACATATTATGCAAGTGTCTTAACACGACGAAATTGATTTTTCTAAATTTCTAAAACTTTCTAATGTAACATTTTCAGAAGTTGTCAGCTTTGAATTCTCATCGCATCATCTCGTTTTTTTTTTTTTTTTTTTTTTTTTAGAAAAGAGTGTATCCCGATTTATATACTGTTTTCCTAACATTCGAATTTGCACTTTAAAGATTTAAGTTTTCGACTAAAATACGAGATGTCATGAAAATTTCAACTGTCCTAAGTCTTTTCGAATTTCATAATCAACATGATTTCAATTTTTCAAGTTAATTAAACTAAAACAGAAAGAAAAATAGATATTCAAATAACTTAAATATAAAAGAATGGAGAAGATATAAATATATAGAAATATAGAAGAAGATGTGAAGAGATTTGAAAAGAGGTTCTAGCTCAGATATTATGTTGTTAACTGAGTGCAAATTGAGCTGCTAACACAGGATTACATAAAAGCTCTTCGGTAACAAGCAATCATTTCACGATAAAACGAAGCAAAATGGATAAAGTTAACCATTCAGGTGATTGATTATCTTCGAGTAGAAAGATGTCAATGGATTCGTAAAGAACTTATCAGCCAGACGATGCACGATGGCTAATTAATTGCAATCAAGGGAATCCTTTAACACATCGAATGTGCACACGACCGTGTAGAAAACAATTACAAGGAGGGGGGACCTAATGTGCCTCTCAGGTAGACAATCTGAATTATCCTTTGGGATCTGAATTATTCCCAATTTAATATTTAGGATCTCAAAATCTACGTTAGTCTGTAATCAAACGAAAATATTCCGTGTATTATACAATAAACATATACAGACCGAATAATATATAAAAACGTGATTTTTTATGAAAAAATAAGAAAAAATATAAAATAAAATTTTTTTATTTGAGGCTTTATTTTTGAAAAAAGATAGTTAGAAAAGTTTTAAAATTTATAACTTAAATTTAGCTAATTTTAAACGTGACAAAAAAGAATAATTAATGAAGTTATTTTAAATGCATAAAAGTACGTAAAAAAATAGATCTGAATATAGTGCGTTAAAAATTTCCTTGCATATATACATACTTGATAAATTTTCAAATTCGATTTTCTCGAAAGCGTCTTACAAAAAAACGTTTTATTCCATATTTTTTACTTATTTTCACACATAGGAATAGCTTCCTGTTAATTATTCTCTTCTGTTCTAGAATTAATTAAATTCAAGTATACTTGATAAATTTTCAAACTCGATTTTCTCAAAATAAAGCCTCAAATCAAAAAATTTTATTCTATATTTTTTTTTTTATTTTTCCATGAAAAGTCCACCGTACAATATTTTTTCAACCTATTATCTGATAAAAATTTGATGCAGTAACATCAAACAGTGTAGTGTAAGTGTAAGTGTAGTGAGAGTAAATTAATGATCTGTTAGTATTTACAGGTTAAGTAGAGATATTTATGGCTGAGACAATTAATCATTACGAATAGTGACGAGAAACTAATACTCTCAAGCTAGAAAGATGATCTAATTACGACTATATTCTCATGAATAAATAGCGACGATAAAAGACACGTTAATACACGGTATTGTTCGATAAGCTAAATTGACGACGCTTTCTGTTCATTTTTTCTAAGGATTCAATCCTTAGTATCTTTTCATTCCTTCAACGATTCTTATTGTACAATTATTCAATAACCATTTTAACGAATCAATATTTCTTTTAAGTGAATTATTATATTACGTCAAGTTGTCATATATTTAGATTTAGGCAACGATTATCTTGTAACAGAACATTCATAAATTTGTATACAAACAAGTGTGTGTGAGTGTGTGTAGTATATTTAATATATTGAATTATATATATTGCATATTTAAATAACGCGAGAAAATACTGTATGATAACAAACATTTAATATTTAATTCAGTTATTACTCATCAATTAGCTCGCACTAACATAACAAGCAGTGAAATTTCTGATTTATTCAGACAGTTATTGTAATGTATTGTAATGTACTGTATTTAAATCTAATTGATTGATACATTTACTAGCAAGGCTGAATTAATTCATTAAAAGCTTCATAGACAGAAAGAAAGATTCTTTTTCTTTACAATTTCTTAAAGCAACAAGTAGTTGAAAGAATGGAATTATCAATGTGTAATTCGTCTCAGCAATTAAAACGGATTTTTTCCGTTTAGCTCATTTAGAAACTCGTATAATTATTCACAACATAAATTCTTTCGCGCCACTAATGTATACTGGTGACGATGGGCAATTTTCTGGCTTATTTTCTAAAATAATCAAAGAGAATTAAAGAATATTGGAAGAAGAATGATCTCGTCACTGGGTGATCTGAAAAAAACCTAACCTAACCTAAACCTAACCATCTTGGATTGTTTTGAAGTTGTAAGAATTCAAATTCCATGATCACAAATTCTTGAACTAGAATTCACTTTTAAGCTTTGTTTAAATTGGTCAAATTTCTTGAATTCAAATGAGTCAAGCTTAAAAAAAGAACCTGAAATTTATTTTATTTTAAATTTCTTTTCCTACAAGGTTCAAATAGTATTAAGATTCTCTTCTGAAAATAAAAAGAAACCTAGTAGTTAGGTAATATAATTTTCAATTTTATACTTGCTAATATTGTTGATATTAATCTGCAGATATTCTCAAATGATTTTTATACTTTCTTTTATCATCGATAACTATATCTTTTAAAAAAGTTTCAGATGTATCGAAGCAATTCCTTTTGCCAATCTAGTTCTAAAGTCCTAAAATTGACGGTTTCTATTTAACACTGTCTTTTAAAACTTTCTTTAACATTATAATAGATATTTCAGCAAATATCAATACTATTTTAGATATTCATCAAGTTATATCATAATTCATTTAACAAATTGAATCAGTAGAGTTTTTAAAAAATATTCACGTATTTAAGTATGTGAAAGTTATTGGCTGGTGATAGTTAATTGTTGAATTTACATGAGTCGTTATTAGGATTTGCTTCAAACTGTGAATATACTATGCTCCTATACCAATTATTTGCATTTATTTACTTTGACTCAATGTATAAAATTTAAAGCCATTGCAATTTAAATGATGAATCTATCTACAATCACCTTTCAATTTTCATTGCTTTGAACTATGTCAAGATTCTATATGTTTTACCATAAAAACGGTTGCTTTTAAAAATTATGTACTTTCTACTGCTACACATCTATATTATATCTATATCTACACATTTTCACGTAATAAGAAAGAAATCAGATTTTCTTCTTTTCCATTCCCTTAAAAACGTTAAACGTTAAAAATTACAGTGTCGGAATCTGTACTCCGGCTAAGGTCACGCACATCTAACAAACTGCAGCTGCATAACTCTTCGTTCGTAGAGTTCATTGCGCCGTAAGCATAAACTGTATGTCCGCACGCGAATTTAAATCCCATCTTACGTACGCATCGCGTTACACGATCGATATCGCGTGGAAATTATCATTCTTCCGATAGTGTGTTTCCGAGGACATCGTGAGCCCAACTATCAAATCGATAGATGTACATAGGTGTAGTATATATATACCAATTA